CTTTGTGGCACCACCTTCCCAGCATCCTTCGGGCTTCGCCCACATTGTTTGGCGCTAAAAACTCTCAAAGGATTTCCCTTTGGTCGTACGGCTTATAGAAGAGTCGTATTTCGCATTAAATTACCATGTTGTGGGCTGGAACGCCGCCAGACATCTCAATACATGCTTAACAATAATGTGACCATGGGCGGCACATAAACGAAACCTGATTGCGAGCCATATGGGCGTAATATAATAAAAGAGAGTATACCTACATGTATATGTGTATAAATAAAATATTCAAATGACTCATTAAGAAGATTGTTTACTGCTTTAGCTTAGATGAAGAGCTTCAGAGTAGAGTCTGTGGCAATGTGAATGAAATTATTCACTATAAGTCAAAATTTCTCTATAGTTAAAATTTCTGAAAGATATAATTTTTTAAATAGCTGAATAAGGAAGCGATTCGAATCTAATGTCGGAAAAATGATGCATTTTATACTATAGAGCAGAGCCAAGTAGTCTCGAGTCTACCAGCCATAATTTACAAACACTATTTTATTTTACCTAGGGTTGAGATACAGATCATAAAAAATATACTTCAAGTTGCGTTCGACTAGTTTTAACGAAGTTCGCTTGCAGCAGGATAAAGATAAATCACTAAACATTTAAAAATTTCATTTATAAGTTTAATAAGAGAATTTTAATTGTAGAATTAGAAAATAGAAATAGGTATATATACATATAGTTCAACTAGAATTGCTGCGCACAATTTCCAATTACTGCTGCAGTTGGTCATGTTGCTCCTGCTGCTCCTGCTGATGATGTTGCCGTTTCCTGCGACGCCTGCTTCGTGCCGTGCGTCGTTCTCTGGCCTTTTTGCGTGCCTCGGCCGCAGCACTGAACGCTTTGTAGGCCGACTTTTTGATCTTCTGCAGCTCGTTGCAGTACTCGAGATGCTGTTTCTTCAGCATTTCGATGCGTTTGCGGGCCACGTCCGCCAGTTGCGTCTTCTCGTCATAGTCCTGCTGAGCACCCGCCGCAGTTGCCTTGGCGTGACTGAGATTCTCCTCGGCAATCTTCAGTCCGTGCTGCATGGCCGTCATAACCTCCTCTGCCTTGCTCGCCGACATCTTGGCGGAATTGAGATTGGTTTGGGCACTGGCAATGCACTCCAACTCCTGGCGCAGCACAGACTCCGCCTCGACTATTTCTGCCTCAAGCTGCTCCACCACCTGTTGCTTGCCGGAGAGCGCAGCTTCCGCCGCCTTGGCAGCGGCATTGGCCCTATCTGCCAGCTGCTGCTTGACCATGTGCGCCACCTCCGCCGCCGCCGACTGCTGAGTGCCGTAGGCCTGCTCCGCGTCGCTGGCGGCCTTCTGGGCGATGTTCGTAGCCGATAGCTTGGCATTTGTGCGTCCTACCCCAATGTCGCACTTAGCACCTGCTTTCGCGCTCTGCATGTCGGTGCCTGTATCGCGGCCTGGATCAGGGTTGCGTCCTCCAGGCGTATCGCACGTCTCATCCATTTGGGCCATGCTGTTGGTGAGCCGCTTCTGATGTGCGTGGCTGCGGCTGTGCAGCAATTGGGGACGCCGTTGCTGCATAGGCGTGGCAGCTGCGGCCGCCGGACTTACGAGAAACTGGAGTAGGCGCACTAGCAGGAACAGGTTGAGTGCCCGGGTCAGCTGTGTAATGCGCATAATTACGTGAGCCTTCAAAGTTACTGTAAGTTTTCCTTCCCAGTTGCCGCTCGAGCATTTTCACATTTCAAGTAGTTTGCCAAGTCAACTTTCAGAATGGAAAAATAAAAATGTTACACACCGCCAAAGTAGGCGGCGGCAAAAAAAGTCACAAACGTTGCAGCGGGAAATGGAAAATCACCCACAGTGCATAACTTTTCCACGCAATTTAACGCAATGTTTCCTAAGAGCAGCGAAGACACTTGGGCTTTCCCTTGCAACTTGAAGTCAACTGACAGGCTGGAATAAAAACTGTATGTATGTATGTGTGCATGGGAAGTACGTGCCAGACAGCCAGCACTTCCAGATATGCAAGAGAGGAAAAACTTAGAGGCATCCACCTATTGGGGCTTCAAGTGACATAACAAATATATTTATATTTTGGTTTGTTATAAATTGATTTGTATAAATAGAAAAATGTTGCATATACAAAATTTATTTGTATAAATATTATGCACAAGTGTTAATAAACAGTTTATATAAACATTTTATATACAAAATATTTCTATTTACACAGGTAAATGTACAACTGTAAAAAAAAATAATAATAATATGAACGCATGATAATATTTAAATATTGATTTTTTTTTATTGCAATTAAAGGTAAACATTCATTTATTATTAAATATAAATATCTAAAAAACAATTATTTGAATAATTTAATTAATATAGTATAGTAGTCAGCACTTTATTAAAGTTTAATATTTTTTATTTATAAAAAAGTTTTATAACAAATTAAATATTTTAATGTTATTAAGAGAAACTATGAATCTTTATATAAGTTTTTTTTATGATACATTAAAATACTATGTTATAGACATATAAGTATTTATTAATAAAAAAAAATTTTTTTTTTATATATTTACATTGTTTTTGTTTTACTTACTTATTTGACATTAGAGTTAATATAAAATTAAAACTAACTTCTGCTAACGCAAATATAAAGTATTGTAATATTTCTCTTAGGGAAACTTTTACAATTTCCATTTAAAAGTTGATTATTGTCTATAACTATTTTCTGTTCATTTATTTATTTTTTTTTTTATTTTTTTTTTTTATCTCATCTCAAGTTATTTCACGCTTTACAACACTTAAGTTTGAGCGTGTTTACTGTGCCCAAATGCGTTCGCCTGAGATAGTTGGCCACTTCTTTTTGGGCTGTAAAATTAATTGGGTCATCAAAGCCGCAGCGGCTTTGCCTATCTGCAACTGTTGTGTGCTGCGTGCGCCCTTTCGTCTCGATAAGCTATCAGCCTTATCGAAAGGGTTGGTCGAGCTGTTTGTTAGCTCGCCAAGTCCCCAGACGATGATTTGAGCTTCCATTTGTGCGTTGATCTGTTAATCCGAAAAGGGTAACCGCCGCACGAAAAGAAGGCTTAGGCATATGATTGAACGACAGCACTTCGTGTTTTTAGTAGTCGTAAAAGAGGCTGGGATTTTGGTTGGTGCGATGCGCCTACCTTGGAGAGCATTTTCGAAGGTTAGTTACTCAACTTGATTGGGATTTTAGGCTTTGCCAGTTTTCACCACCAATTAACAGGGAATCGTTGCAGGCTCTAAAATATTTAACTGAAGTTGAGTTACTGCAAATGGACACTTGACAACCGCAGCTGGCAGGACTCGCCTCCCTGCCCCGCCCACTGGCCGTACTGCCAAAAACTCATTTGCTTGCATCTCTGGTTGCTGTCATGTGGCCTTTGCACATTTACAGAGTGCTCGACGCGTCCTTCTGCTCGTACTCGTCCTCGTCCTCGCCTTCGTCCTCGTCCCTGTCCCTGTCCCTGTCCCAGTCCGTGTCACTTGCATGCGCCTTTTTGCGTGGCCAAGTACATGTGCAGAAGTGTCCCAAATGACACTCCGAGTGGGCGTAGGTGTATGAGTGTGAGTGTGTATGTGAAATGGGTGTGGCAAAAAACCGCAAAAAATTCTACATGAAATCGATGTGCACGAACATTTTTGGTGAATGCATAAGAAAATTGCAATAAGCATTCACGAACCCGGAACACGCTCTAAAAAGTAGACCCAAAATATTCATATACCGCTTCTTATGCTTCAAAAATAATATTCGAATCAAAGTTACATGTATTTATTATTTAAATTATAATATTTTTTAATTTTTAATTTAAATTTATTTCGATTTCTGTCTAGGCTTAATAAAACAGAAATACCTTGAATGGTTCATTAAAAATGTTTGCAATTTTTGTAGAAATAAATGAGAAATCACTTTCATTTTTGATTTAAATTGCAAATGCATTCAAACATATGTATATCCTGGACTTAATTTTCAACTGTATGCTCGATTTCCATTGCATCTCATTAATGCCAAAATATAATGACCCCATGCTGGGGCTGTCATCCTTTATCATTGGAATGCTCTGACAGAACCAGCTACAACAACTAATAAACATCTTCACCAGCACACACACACATACACACTCACACACACACACACACACACACACACACATAGAAATTCAATTTCCTTTGCCAGTCGCTGGACCCCCACAAATGGCATCTGTCGTCATGCTGAGCCCCAGAGCCTCTGTCTGTCGGGATATAGTCCGCATTCCCTAACTGCAGTCTGCATGTCGTCCTGTCTTTACAGCTCGCTCTCTCTCTCTCTCTCTCTCTCTCTCTTTTTGTATGCATATTATATTTATGGTCTAGCAGAAGTGCTTATTGATGTTGCATCTAAAATTGAAATCTGAAATTTTCTTTTAAATTGTTTTTGGTATTCGAGTTGTTTTTTCTTATTTTGGACAGTTTACACGAAAAGTGCATCGATTGCAGTTTCAATGATCTTGGAATTCTAATTAAGGTTAGCTGGCATTTTGTTAAACAATATGCAAAAAATAGTAGCAAGCCGAGCGGCCAGTCAGAGCTGCCATGCTCTGCCCTAAAAATTGAGAAAAAAAAAGTTGCAGGCTGAAGCCCACTGCGAATAGAGTTTTGACGCATAGGTAAATTGAATACAAGCAACAGGAAAATTGCTCGCAGGCCACAAAGGTGCTCTGCTGGCAGGCATTCCCAGCCCGACCACATATAGCACATGGCATCGAGTTTTTGGACTTGCATGAAAAGTCTCTCCCAGTTCTCGACCACAAGAAGTGAAACATGAAATTTACGCAAAAGCGAGCTAGCAATGGAGGTAAGCCAGCCCAAAGACAGCCTGGCTGAGTGCACTCGAGTTCCAGTTAACTAATATTGCTCATGACAATGTGGTTAGGCTCTTTGAGCTTCGGCTGAGGAATCATCAAAGAAACCGCAGACTAAGGCATGTTCGGTTCAGTTAATTTACTTAGTGCTTTCATTTGAGACTGCCTAATTGGGAACGAATGTATCATCTGAGAAAGAAATATTCCGCAGGGCAGCTGTTATTTCGGTGATATCATATAGATGAACTCTTCGTAGTCGATTTTGCCATCGCCATCGAAGTCGGCCTCTCGTATCATATCATCAATCTCCTCGTCGGTTAACTTTTCGCCCAAATTGGCCATCACAAAGCGCAGCTCGGCTGGAGATATGAAACCGTCCTCATTCCTGTCAAAGATCATGAATGCCTCTCGGAACTCCTCGTCTAAATCATTCTCCTGCGCATGTCTGCACATGAGGCTACAGAATTTATCAAAGTCGATTTGCTCCTTGCCAGTGACATCAACATCGTTCAACATATCCTTCAGTTCAATATCGGTGGGATTTTGGCCGAGTGATCGCATTAAATTTCCCAATTGCCGAGAGTTAATCACGCCAGAATTTTCTTTATCGAAGAGAAGAAAGGCCTCTTTAAAGTCTGCAATTTGCTCTTCAGTTAGGTCCGCTGGATTCATTGTTGGATCGCTACGCAACTAGTATCAATTTCGTAATTTACTAGAGCTTGTTCTATTGAAAGATTTGAGTAGTAATCGAATAATATTGTATTATATTTGATATATCAAATCAGCTGGACAGATTCTCTTCGCCAACTCAGTCTCCTATAGTCAGTGTTGCCAGCTATAAAGCTCCGAAAGAAATTGGATTGTGCATAAAAGCATAAGCTGAAACAGGCTTTAAATATTTTCTGCAAGTATTTCCTTAAGTATTTCCTCTTAATTTTAAATGCTTCACTGAACGATCATTAAATATATGCACTTATTTCACTTCACTTTGCTGTACTGCACGACTGACCCCCACCAGGCCTGGGACGACTGAAGAAATGCTTCAGCTGCTGCCCATATATAGGACAACTTTGAGTCAAACACGAAGTCGCTCTCAAATGTCCGACGCCAGGTAGAGATCGTGTCTGTTGATCTTTGATTGACTAATGAGAGCACTCTCTGCTGCGATCGGCATTCTAGCTTCGTTTTACGTAAATATAAATACCGAATGAATACTGCTGCATACATGCAGACAACTTAAACGATCTTCTATTGCTCTTCTGCGTCCCTTGCCTTTGTTAAGCAGGCAGACAGAGACACGCAGAGACACATAGAGAGACAGATATACAAGCAGATATATAGGCATACGCTGCTCAAGAATATATATGCTTAATAATGAAATGTTCATATGCTAAATAGCTTATGTATATTAATATTTCAAATTATTATATGACATTTACAGTCTTCTACAGTTGTCTTAAGGACTAGGAATTCTGAATTGTCTACTTCAGTTTCTGGCTCTTCTATCCCATACGAATTTTCAATGAATTTATTATAAATAGGCTAGATCTAGCCTGAAATAGGATAAGCTGGCAACACTGCATATACATAAGTCCTATTTATCAGCCCATTCATGTGAGCTGAATTATCAAACTATGTACTACAACGTGCAGCATAGCATAATAAGAATTTGCATACATTTTTATATATATAAAGAGAAATATAATATTTCTACATATACATATTAAATTACATATATTCGTATCACTGAAGTGATCATCGCAAAGGTAAGCAAACACGAGCTATAGCCCAGCCTGCTCGACTAAGAAAGCCCTTGAATCTGATATTCTATGCATACAAACACACGCACATACATACATACTCTATCCACTCAGTTCGTGGCCCTCCTGCCTCCTGCCAGCTAAATAAATTTTCACAAAAACGAATATATATTCCAGAGTATAATAAGCATTGCACATAGTGAACTTGTGGCTACATAACGAGGTCAAGCACACACACACAAACAAACAGGAGAGAGAGAGAGAGCGAGCCATATTTGCAATAGTAATTTTAATTTAAGAAATTTTCGTAATTGGTTTTAGAAAAAGATGAAGTAAAAAACGATTTGCTAGAAAGATTTTACTTTTGAGTTATCATATAGACGAACTCTTCGTAGTTGATTTTGCCATCGCCATCGAAGTCTGCCTCACGTATCATGTCGTCGATCTCCTCGTCGGTTAGCTTCTCGCCCAAATTGACCATCACAAAGCGCAGCTCGGCTGGAGATATGAAACCGTCCTCGTCCTTGTCAAAGATCTTAAATGCCTCGCGGAGCTCCTCGTCGGCATCGCTGTCCACCGACTGCTTCGACATCAAATTGCAGAACTCAACGAACTCAATCGAGCCATTGCCAGTGGTGTCCACCTCATTGACCAGATCCCTCAGCTCGGCATCGGTGGGATTCTGTCCGAGCGAGCGCATCAGATTGCCCAGCTCACGAACGCTGATCATGCCCGTGTTGCTCTTGTCAAAGAGGGCGAACGCCTCTTTGTATTCGGCAATTTGCTCCTCAGTCAGATCTGGATTCATTGTCGGATCTACTCGTAAGGACTAGCAATTTCGTGTTTTTAAATAGGGCACGTTGTATCCAAATGTATGAGTGACTATTGACTATATGAATTGTATGTTGATTTCGAATTTTTAAGTAGTGAAAACTGCTTCGCACCGCTTGCTCAGCTCTAACGTTCACTCATCATAGTGACGAAGTCTCTGTAAATAATGTTGCCCTCGGTATTCGAATTGGCATCCAACACAATCTGGTCCAGGTCGTCCTCATCCATCTCATCGCCATATGCGCTCATTATGTGCTTGAACTCGTTCTCGTGTATCCAGCCGTTACCCTCTCTGTCGAAGACCTTGAATGCCAGTATAACCTCATCCTCCGGCGTCTGGCCCTCGTAGCGCACGGACATGATGTGCAGAAAGTCGCTCAGGTAGAGCTCATCCGTGCCATTGGGATCGTATTCATTGTAATAGTCCTGCAGCTCATGCTCAGGTGGATTGTGGGCCACAGCATGCATTATGTCCTTCAGCTGCTTCATGGGTATTATCCCCGTGTTATTGGTATCGAACAGGGAGAACGCCAGCGTCAGGTCGGCCTCCTGCTCCTGGTTAAGACTGTGCGTTCTTATGATGCGCTCCTCCGGCGGCGGCGTGGCAAAATCAAAGTCCATTTCCATCCTGAACGGGTCTCCAAAAAGGTGTCACTTGTAATAGAATACTACCTCTAAAATTTGGCTGAAATAAATTGTGAATTCTTTTTGCACTGAAACTATGTAAACATTAATATAAACTGAAATCAATTGAGTCTTAGATCTTGGCCTACTCAAAGGGGAAACAGTTAGAGATAGAGCATGGTAGAGTTAAGAGCAATTATTAACTAACCATAAAGTAATTTGCGAATCTAAACTAGATCTAGGTTGGGCACATGTCGACATAGCTTAATGCATCGCCATAGTTCATACATATAAATATTTGTCCAGTTTACCTTGCAGGGCTTCTATTATAAATAATCGTTTACCTCTGCTGTCCGAAGAACATATGCAAATGAAACCACGCAATCCCATCAGAGCTGCTTGTTGTTGTGCTTGGTGTGCTGCTGTTGCTGTTGTTGTTGGCTGTGTTGCCTGATTATGCCACGATTATGGGCAAGCAAGGGCCTCGGTGAGCTGTTGCCCTTGGCACATGCCGACTCTCACCCTCCCGACCCTCGACTCTGGACTCTCTGTTGTGCCATTGTTGGTGTTGGGGCCGAGACCAAAGCTCATTCATAAGCTATGCACTGAAATTTTGACAATGGCCATCGTGTGGCCACCTATACAGGTGACTTTCCATTAGCAACAGTTTCAATTTTGCATAGTTGTGAGTGCACATTGCATTCCAGCTGGAGACAAGCCGAAAGTCATTTGCAGCCAGAAATTATGTAAATTGTGCAATTTGGATTTTACTCATTGGACCCAATAGCAGAAACAAGAAGACCACTAAAAAACACCATTACATGCAGTTAGAAGGCGGCACGTAATCGAGCAGGTAGCGAAACCTGTCCGAAAATAGCCAAACATTTTTAATTAAAAATTTAATTAGGAGAGCAACTGAGCAAGGCATATTTGGGGGAGAAAATTGCGTAGAAAAAATTGTGCCTAAACTGCAAACGGGAGAGGAAGCAAAGATAGATAATTGAAAATGCCAGAAACTTAAAGAGTATTGAGTGCATATATGTACATAACAGGATATAATGGTAAAATGTAAGTAATGCAGAGAAGGAGACTTAGATCTTAGCCTATTCAATGGGGGAATAGTAAGAGCAAGAGCATGGAGAGCTAAGAGCAATTATTATTATTGAGTGAATATATACATTTATATTATCATTGAAAATGAGAAATCAAGATATAATGGTAAAATGTAAGCAATGGAGAGAAGGAGAGGAAGCAGACGTGTCACGTGTGAGCAGGTTGTTTGTATCGGTATTGTAAGAACCTCTTGCTTTTATCATTAGCAGGCGTAGGCGCACACATAAAGAGAGAAAGAGAGAGTGAGAGTGGGAGTGAGAGAGATAGAGAGAGTGTGTCGCACTTCATAGACTCTGTCTATGGGAACCAGAGCTCTGCTTCCTTTTTGACATATTTTTATTTAATTCCACATATTTAATATTTAGCGATCTTTGTTGTTAACACAATGAAATTAATATAGGTAAATAATATTATATAGACATAAAGAATTTCTCATTTATGTTCTTAGTATTTGCTCAGACCTAGAGATAAGAGTGTCTACTCTAGATTTTTAAAAACTAAATAAAAATCGTATGACATTTAAAGCTTTACTTTATTCTGTATCCCCTTATTATACAATCAGTTAATTAAGTTATACTGTGAATATTCCGCGTGCAAATCAGCCAAGTTTTTGAAAAAGCGTGCAAAGCTTGCTTCATTGTATTAAGTGTAATGAAGGCTCTCGAGGGATTAAACGTAAGCACCTTCATTATCGCTGCAATGCACAACCTGAGGGTATGAATAGAATCATTCGCATTGATTGACAAATTCAATTTCAGTGCAGTTGGTTAAGTGGATTGTGGTTACGTTGGCGGTTTTCTATTTTTGTTATACTAAAACCACCACCCCGCTAGCACCCTCCAATGCCGTACCGCACCACCCGTTGTCAGCTGACTGCAGTGGAGGCGCGCTGCTCGATTGCATTCAATGCCGATTTCAATTAAGCATATGAAAGCAGCGCTCGGCCACACAATGTGGCACCCGGCAACAATTGAGTGGGTATGGCCACAGAGCTGCCCATTGGCTGCTATCATGTCGGGTCAGTCATTGTCAGTGGGTCGGCAAAGTAGTGCCATGAAGCAAAGCGACGCCTGCGGAGCAGAAGCAGAAGGAGAAGAGATGAGGCCACTGGGCGCCAGAGCGTTTTCAATATGCGTTTTTGTGCCTCATTTTAAGTGTGCTTCTGTGTGTGTGTGTGTGTGTGTGTGTGTGGCATGTATTGTGCTGTTGTTGAGGCATGTGAATGCCTCTCTGCCTGGCAGCGGTTGCACATGCTTTTGGCCAAGCTGTTGCCATATTTGGTTTGTTAATCTGCCTTTTGCCACTGAAGCAGCAGCTGCCGATTTTCATTAAAGGCAGCGAGGCAAGTGAAGCTCTGCTTTCTGTGGCACTTGGCTTTTCTTTTTGCAGTGTGTCTGTGTGCATAGCACACACACACACAAGCGCCAGCAACGTGTTAGCCCAGCCCCCGATCAAACATTCTAAATGGCTCGCAGCAGACTTGGAGACCCAAGCAAAGCCTGGCAAAGCAAAGGAAATGGCGAAATCCTGCCACGCCCAGCAACAATGCAAGTCAATCTCAATGGGTTTCAACTCTTTGCCGGGACTTTGATGCGGAACAGTGCCAGGATACACAAGCCAGCCCGAAGTGCCAAAACAAATATGTAGTCAATAGCAGTGTCTAAACCTGAACTCAGGCACCATAAAAAATAAAGAAGAAGAAAAAACAAACAGAAATGTAAGCCAGCTGTTGCTCTCATGTCTGGGTGACTTAAATGACTCTTCGATTTATTAAAGGGTTCAGTTTTAACGACTGTGCAATTCGAGAATATTTTTAAATTTTGCCCTCCTTGTGGTTGATATCATCTTTAGTGATATCACGTTGGTGAATCTCTCCGTATTCAATCGGTATTGATCACCATTCAGGGCCCATTTCTTCAGCGTCTCCCAGTAGGACTTTTCTATCAAGAAGAGCTTGAATAAAGATTCAGATCCATTGCCAAATAGAGCTTACCTCCGGAAATCAGCTGGAAGCTAAACAACAGCAAAAAAATGAAAGTTAATAAAGAACTTTTGGTTCTCATATTTTCAATTTGAAGGAAACCTTACGAGCTGAGATAACTTCACTTTTACTGCAACTGCATAAATATATTTAGTTTTATTTGGTTAGCAAATGTGACGAATCAATTTAGTATTGATTAAATTGCACTTTGTAAAAATACATGTAGAGAATAAAACCAAGAATAGGAAGGAGGAGTATAGAGAGACTCAGGAATTTCGTATTATTTGAATATATAAATAAAAAATTTAATCCATTTAAAGCTACATAAATGGGTTTTATTTATTCTATATGTATATACGCTTGCTCGCATTGGTAAACAGCTCAATTAGCTAGTTCGCTTGCTCTCGGATGTTGTTAATTCTAAAAACCGAGATACACACACACACTCATACACACACAAACACACACGCAGCAAAGTTTTGTTGACTTTGTATATGGGTCCTTTCGGCCATGTAAGATTCTTGTTTGCTTATGACACAAATTGCATTTGTGGATGACAACAAAAGCTTTGGTCATGCCAACAAGATGATTAAATTACTCATACGCCCCATGAGCCGTGCGCGCGCACACACACACACATACACTGCAGACGCCAGATGCCATGGCCAAAGTTTACTGCGAGTTATTATTATTGTTTTAGTTTTTGTTGCCGCCCGGCATTTAGTTAATTAAGTTTTACTGCAGCAGCAACAGCTCGACATGGCCATTTAATTAGTTTTTAATTATATATACATTCTTTTCGTTTTCGTTTTTTTTTTTTTTTTTTTTTTTTTTTTTTTTTTTATTTAGCAGTTAACGCTCAGCTCTAAGCGCTGAACGCCGAACGTTGAACGCTTTACAAACTGGACACCAGAGTTGGGTATTTGTTTTGAGTTCATTTAATTTTATTTGTATTTGGTAGAAACGACCATGCCACCGTAACCTAAGCAAGCCCCCAGCGTGAAGCGTTCCTCATGTAGCACATTATTTTTACAGGCTTTGTGTTGAGCAAAGTTTTTGCTTAATAGGCCAGTCGCAGCTTGGGCTGGGTAAATGAGTTTTGTTTAAAATTAATAAAATTTAAGCATGCTATTTAGCAAATGCCGCAAACTTCGTCAGACAATGCCAGCCAAAAGTATGCAGCCAAGCATTTTAATTGAATTTTTCAACAGGCCAACAGCGACAGCAAAAGCAACAGCAACATCATCAGACCAGGCGCTAATTGAAATAGCCAAGCAAATATTGCACTTTTCTGCATGTTTAAACGGCAGTCGAGTAGAAGAACCAGCAGAATTGGACGGCGGCAGCTGCTCTGTAAAAATATTTACACACTACGCTGTTCCATAAAACACCGCAAAACAATAAAATTCGCAATTAACCAAATGGAAAGCACCGCCAGAAATGCAATGAGGAATTGCTGCTGGCTCATGTGAAGTGCATACAATGCGAAAAGGCATCACACACACACACAAACAACTCAAACAACAATGAGCAAAAAAACAACAACAGCAATAAAGCAACATTTTAGGAAAAAATTTCCACAGTTATGTATATATGTATATACCCCTCGACCATTATACCCTGTAAAAGTATTGAGTGTAAGTTTTAAGTGTTCCATTTAAACTTTGGCAATCGAGTTTCACTTATCAATCGTTTAGCTAGTACTAAATTAAATTTGTTGCACTTGAAAAAATATTTTTAATTACTTTTTTTTTTTGGTATTATTAAGTTTATAAATTGAAATAAGAATAAAATTGTTTTTTTTTTTTTTTATTATTATTA